AATTTATTTATTTATTTTCGTTCAACTTATTAAAAATTTGAATCCAACCGATTTGCTTGCAAAGTACGAGCCTTTCGGATTGATAGACTTAATCAAAGAGACATGAATAAGTATTTGAGTTCAAAAAGAAGTGAGACACGATCTAGTAAAAATCTGTTCGCTTACTATTTGTTTATTAAGCTCAAAATAAGTGTATTTGTGTTCATCTAAAGTAGCAAGCCGCACGTAAGTTGTTTGCAAACTACGAGTCTTTCTGATTGATAGACTTAATCAAAGAAAAATGAAGTAGACATGCAAATGTTGCATAGGACTTCTAGGAATGAATTCTAGTATTTCCAACTCAATTCAATCCTAGAGGAATTTTACAAATAAAATCTAAAGAACCAAAAAAATCTCATTCAAATATTTTTGTGCATTCAATACAAATACCTTAATTTTTTTATGCTTATTTGTATTTTATTTAAGAAAGATTTAGATGCATATTCATTTCCTATGTATTTACATATCTCATGCTTAAACTTCAAATTCTTTTTTTTTTTAATATGCAACTTTACAAATTTTTTTGTCAAAGTCAAATTTTGACACCCTAAGTGAAACAGTTGAAATAACTATATCAAATTAGTTCAACTTTGGCTTACAGTTAGTTTACTTAATTGTGAATAACAGAGTGAAACTAGAGCAACTCTAACACAAGTTTTACTTTGTTTAATTGAGACTTCATTTGGTTCACGAGCTAGTTAAATTTATAAAAATAAAATAAAAGGGATAAATTTAGTTCAGAGAGAGAGAGAGAGAGAGAGAGAATAATGATGAATAGCAATCAATCATGTTTTATCCATAAAACGATTCCCCTAGTTAAAGAAAAAGGGGGTACAATAATGGTATTATGATTTTGCCCCCCACTTTAAAAGGGTTTGTAATATGGAATTTCAGATATTTTTTCATGAATGAGTTTGTCTTTTGGTTACCTTCTAGCTCGGTCATCTAAGCTTTGCTAGCTTCGGGTCGACGCAATCAGCTTGGTCAGCTGAACTTGGTTGGTTATCCAGATTGGGTCAGTCGTCTAAGTCGGGTTATTCAGGTTAGGTCGGTCGGCTAAGCTAGGTTGTCCAGCGCAGGTCGGTCGTTCAGGACGGATCATCTAGGCTAAGTCCAGGCTAGGTTGTCCCTCTGCGGAGATTCAATCTGACATAATTTTTGAATGCATATCATAAATTTTAATTGATAATTCTTAGTATTTTTGGATTCATTCTACATTTTGACCTTCAAGTCTCTTAATGCCCCATCCCAGCGTTACATTAGGGTAGTGGCAACCTATTGCCACTCCCTGCAATGATTAAGATGATGCCAGATTAATTGTCAACCTCTCTTGTGAGCTATCACTCTATTGTTTACCAATTGTCACATAATTTGTATGACTTCTACAATCTCTACTTTGTAGGCTGTATATAGTATAACTTTTTTCTTAATAAGACATATGTTCATACAAAATAATGACCAATCATCAACATTTTTACTTATCCTAAATTTATTTAATGATTTATTCAAAACTATTCTTATCAATTTGGCCAACATTGTTAACTCAATTAGGATTTATGACAATGAAAATATTAAAATGAGATATTTTGCATGTTTAGTGATTAATGATATTTTTCAATCAACACTTGTAGTCAATACTTGACTAGCCTTAGCCTAATTTGATCCATAGAGTCAATCTCACTGACTTTTCAATTTGAGGGGGTGTGATTTGACCATTTGCTATTGATGCAAATAAGATGGATACATTTAAGATGATCATAATATTCCCATAAAATATATAAATAGATCTTGATGCTACATATTACAAAAATTTGAAAAAATGTTGGCTCATAAATAACTTTAAAGTATGATTAATTACTTAATTGTCAGTCAATCATTTTTAGTGTATCAAAATCTATTTTACATTATTATTTTTTAGTTACATAGTGTCATATACTATCTCTCGCTTACTTATACTTTCTCAAGTGGATGGGCTACATCAACCATCTCAACAATTGAAAGGCTCACCCCTAACCTTTTCTTACTAGGAGCATCACTGTGGCATTGTCCGATCATTCTATAATTCATCCATTCTTACATTGTTCATCTTACTAGATATAAACTTATAGAAGTTCGTGTGGCTCTTATAAATTTCAATTCTTTGAGTTGTTTGTATTATATGATTTTTTATACAATATAATCATCTCTCATGAGGGTGGAACAAAAAAAAAGTATTCTAATGGGGGAACAAATTATTGATTTGAAAATACTCTCTATCATTTTCATCATAATTTAAAACTGGTATTAACATCTATAAAAAAAATTAGAAAATATAGTGCTATTTTAAAAAGTTATGATTCCATTAACTTAATTAGATTTTTATAATCAAATATAAGTTTGTTCATGGCTTCTAAAATTAATTAATTGCTAGAGTTAAACAAATAATATATATCTGCCTGTGATTGTTGCTTGCTAATAGTCTCATATCTATGAAAAGCTTGTTTAGCATAAATATTGATTAAAAATATTATTATCAACTATTAAGCTAGCAATTGATTAACACCTCAAACTTAATTGCTTTGTTATTCTTAGAAGTTTAGGAAAGTAATTTTAAATATAATTTTCATAGAGTTTGTTTAAAATATATGAGTAACAATATAATATTTAAAACACAGCTTAAGAATTTTTTTAAAAAAAATGTTAATATGGTTTGAAAGGTCTTATAAAATCACATTTAGTAAATTCAGAAAGGATTAAATCTTGAAATTGTTTGGCGTTACAAATGTTGAATTGGTTATATCATATGAAAATATTTTGCAACTTATTTTAGGATTTAATTCAATTAGTTGAAATATAAATTAAATATGATTTTTTTTCTAATTGTTTTGATAAATAATTAACTATTTACTAAATTAATTAATTATTTATAAAAAAAATATTAAACTAAGTTTTTATGGAGAATTATTCTTATTCATTAATTAATAGTTGATTAGTTATTTATTAGATTAATTAACAATTAATTAATAGTTTGAATATTTAATTAATTTTAATATATAATTTAATTTTTTAATTAATAATAAATAAGTTTATATAATCATGATTAATTTGATAAAATATTTATTGAATATTAATCAAACTAACTAAATTTAAGTTAAAAATTATACTAAATCACAAAAACATACTTTCATCTTTTCTCTATTCTACTCCCAAATCTGGCCTGCCTTGCTTTTTCCTCTGCTGATTTTGCTAAAAACTATTGATTACCTTCCTCTTCTTGCTCTTCCCGTGGCCAAAAGACCAAACCCCTTGCAATACAGTTATGATTGGAGCTAGCAAGGACGACAATGACGAGATGACAGAATTGTGGTGTATAAAAATCTTTGACACTCCCATATAAATGACCTTCCACTCTTGCTTCTACTCAACTAACCCTGGTCTTTCTCTTCCTTCCTCCCACCCCACTTCATGTGTTTCAACTTCTCTAAATCTCAAATCTATCTTCTACCGAGATTGAAGGCAAAATAGAAGAGAAATGAGATTTAAGATCATATAGGATTTAAAGTTGTCACTTTTATTGCTTGGAATGATTTTTTTCTTTTAGAAGTTGAGTCTTAATGGCAACTAGGTTAGAAATGAATGACCTAATTGTAGAGCTTTCACTTTCCAGCGGATTCAAACTGCTTAAATTTCTCTTGAATAAACACTAATAATAGTAAATAATTAAAAGACGGCCCTTTCCTTGCCATTTACTTCAACGCTCATAGATTTCTTTCATAACCACCAGAAGGCGCATTCCCCACATGGAAATTGCACGACAAAAATGCTCTTTTTTTTTTGGTTTACATTTATACCTCCACAAAATTTCCCAAAAAATCAATGTCCACGTGAATGTCCTGATATTTGCTGAACGCAAGAAGATTTCAGAATTAAATGAGTAATAAATACTATAGCTTTTCTCGCACATTATTAATTACCCTGGATATGTCAAAGATCATAAAGTCTTCTATTCTCCAAATCTAACAGGCGTTTATTCCTTCCTTCAATTCACCTGAAATATGCATCGTTAACCAAAAAAAGAGCAATTTTTAAAGAAATTGAAGAAAAAATCATTTAAAAATGATAAATTTCATATTTTTTATAGCAATGGAGATCAGTCACCAGGCCAGCATCATTAGACCCGTGGCTTCCTGTAACCTCCACTGGCCCGACCACTGTGTAGCAGCAGTGGCAGACAAAAGATTGGCGCATTAGGCGCCGAAGCTTTCCTGTCTCTTCTTCCACCATTTCAGTGAACTTTCTTCTACAGTCCGAGATCGAAGGTAACCTTCTCTATAACTCAGGTCAAGCTTCTGAAGAAACTGGTGTTCATTTCTGCAAATCGAGGCAACGAGTTTTGGTTTAGGTTTTGGTTTACTGATTTCGCCATCTTGCTTTGTTTTCTTCTTAACATTCGCCATTAGTACCTTCTGGGAGTGATTAGAGGATCTTGATGCGAGCATTAATGCGGTTTTGGTTATAAATTTATCGTCTTTTAGCTTTTTGGATCTTGGATTTGTAAATTCTGGGCGAGTTCAGTTTCCTCTCGGTTGTTTACCTGTAGAAATGTTGAAGGTTGGGGGGGAGTTTTGAAGGATCTGCTGAATCTCCATTGTGAGATAGGTTTGAGGAGGGATTTCTTGTGCATTGTGAGTCAAATTTTGACTGGTAATGGCGTTATTTTGTGCCCTAATGAAGCATATTTGATCCTGTTCTTGAATCAGCTAATTCGTGTTAGTTTTCTGCACTGCCTTTTTTTGCCCTTTTTTTTTAATAATTATTAAGTTAATGTTCATCTTGAATTTGCTCTTTCTTGTTCAAATGTTTGGTCATTTTACAGATTATTCTGTTTGTTTGAGTTAAAAAAAATAGAGTTTTCTACTTTGGAATCCCTGGATTTGTTGAACTTGTCTTTCTGGTTTTAAGAAAATGACATTTTATTTGAAGTAAAATAAAATGACTTCTTGGTTTTAATTTACAAATCTTAATCTGTTCAGCAATTGGATTTAGTAAATCCGGATTTCGTCGTAAAAGAGATGGAACAAGATAAATTTTTATGTTTGGTTGGATTTACCTTAAATCCATGCCTAAATCCTATTAAAGCCCTAACAAACAGCCCCAAAAGGAGATGTCTAATTTGTTTGGGGAAAGTGATTTTTGTGTGCTGGGGTCTATTCTGTTTTCTTATTTTAGGATAAATGGACTTTTTTCTTTTCTATGAGATTAGATAAATTCCATCTCTGTAAGCATAATGCTTTTAAGTGTTTGGTACAACTTAAAGAGTATTGCTTAATAACTTTGAAGTACTTCCTTGGTGCTCTATGGTTAATGGGGAGGTCGGAGTAGCAAGACTGGAGCAGACAACCATGATGGAAAAATGGTGAATTGTGCGCACAATTCTAATTTAAGTTGTTTTCTTAAATCCTTCGTAAGATATACATATTCATTAAAATCGCCATCCAACATATACAAAAGCCACCTAACTTCAAATTTTCATTTAAAATAGTTTTTAGATTCATCTTCATTCATGATAAGTACAAAGTAATTAATAGTATATAGAGTAAAGTGTAAAATAGCCCCTGAACTATTTATATGGGGTCATTTTAGTCCTAGAGTTTATAAAAGTATCAAATTAGTACTTAGACTTTTTAATATAGGATAAAATAGGCCCCAAAGAGGACTATTTTAGATCTTATTAAAAGAGTTTGGAGACTAAATTAACATTTAATAAACTCCGTGACTAAAATGACTAGCGAAAAAGAGTCAGTGAACCATTTTAACACTTTTTTTCTAGTATATATATGAACAACAGCTGTTGTTGCATTTATCTATCAAAAGATATCACATTTTCCGCGAACTGATTTTCCTCTTTCACCCATTTAGTCACCGAAGATTGTATTATAAAATATGTCTCAATTGGATGAGTTATAAGTGTATAAATTGGTGTGTGTTAATCACTTTTCTAAGACATGGCAATGCAAAGGAAATAGTGCAATATATTTACCGATCATCATTATCGAACTGGGGAAAGAATATGATTTTTTATTTCAAATAAGATAATGATCTTAATTTATTAGAATTAAATGAAAATATGACACTCAATAGAACACAATGGAGAAAAAAGATTCATGTAGCTAACCCCACTTAGTAACCCCACTTAGACTTAGTGGGATAAGCTTGTTGTTGTCGTCATTGTTGTATACAATTATGATTATAAACAATCTATGTAGTTTATATTATGAACGAGAGTTCAATCACAACATTTAACTAAATTCAAAAGTACGAAAATGGAATGTAACATACCATAACTTATTTTGATAAATTTAGTGTTTCACCGGCCAATGGCATAAATTTTGAAAGGCCAATATTCATATATTTATGCCTTACAAATATGCTGATGAATGATGAAGGGGTTCTCTTTTATTTAGTTTAATGGCCATTTCAACAATTATTTTAATATGCTTATCAAAAACTGTCTGATCTCACATTCGTGTTACTACTTGCACATTTAATTTGTAATTCTAATGGCCATTTTTTTCAAGTGTTATCTATTTTTCAGAATGATAACTATGATGTTCTCTTTTAATTCTGCAAAGAAAGGTTGATTTTTTTTTCTTTGTCTCTGTGAAGACAAAAATGAATCTGAAATTGATTAAAAATATGCAATTTATGTTGCCTTGGTTTGCTTTGTATCAAAATCTGCACAATTTTCTTAACCTAGACAGGGTACTGCTGAAATTGCATTTTACCTGTAGAATAGACACATTTGACATTTGTTATCTTTGTTTCTCTTCCCTCTTATTTTTAGTTATTAGTCATCATGGAAAGCATGCCCACCATAGTCTCTAATCTGAACTGCTTTTCTGTTGAAGCAGTAATAGCAGGTAAATGAACAGCCCACGGTTGATAACAGCTCAGTTCATCCATGGCGCCAAGTATCACATTGGAGAGTCAAAATAGTTTTGAAGTTGGGCCAAGATCTAAAATTGTACAATTATTGCACTCCAGTATGAAAAAAACTCGAGAAAGGGATGCATATCAATCTTCAAGTGCAGAAGATAGAGATAAAGAGGTAAGAGGTGGAGGGATGGTAAAGCGGAGTTCGATCCATTTAGGCTCTAAGGAAATCAGGACAGCGATAGAGGTAAGAGGTGGAGGAAAGAATTCCGAACCTTGCCTTAACTATGGCGCTTTTCCATCCTTTGAACTCATGGAATCCACCCCTTGGGGTACTTCTCCATCCATTGATAACATTCGGTTGCTTCCGAAGTCAAATACGGAATTTCTCGAGTTGTCATTTCGAGATCTTCCAGAGGAGCGCTCTAAGATCAGCATTTCATACTCAGACGTTGCTCCGGCTGGCAGCAGTCCTGAACAGATCAACAGCATTTTTAGTGCTAAAAACAAGGTAATCAATACAGCGACTTCACCCGTTCACTTGCATTCTGTTCTTAAATGGGAATTTAATCATGGTGACTCATCCTATCAATTCTCTGTTAAAGATCCTGAATATGTTCTTTGTGCAAAGACATGGAAAACTGAAAATGTGTTTAATTGGGTTTATACCTTTCATTGTTGTAAAGTGAAGAGTAATATCATCAATCATGGAAAGAAGAACAGGCATCTTAGGCCATCTCTTATGGTTGGTCAGATGCAGGTTTCTCGTTATTTGTGCTCCGAGGTGAGTGAAGACGGTTCAGTCGATAACTCTGTAGTAACAGAGTTCACCTTGTATGACATTGCTCAAGCGAAAAACAGCATTGTAACAGAAAGATCTCATTTTTCATCAAACTTGAATCATTATTCCGGTGAGCTTAATTCCGACCCTTCGACTTCTTACCCCTGGGCATCAGCTGAGTTGCAACCAAACCATGAAATTGCTGCCATTGTTACTCAATTTCCACTTACTATGATAGAAGACTTAAAAAATATGCAAGCCAGAGATCGGACAAGGGTTGCCATTCGCAGCCATTCAAGCTCTCCATATGTGAAGGCGATTACACCAAGTGGGAGACACGGGCTTCCTAAAAGGGAGGAACTTGGACCCTCGTCGCTACTAGATAGATGGAGATTTGGTGGAGGATGTGATTGTGGTGGTTGGGACATGGGCTGCCCAATTGTTGTGTTTGATAATGGTGATAATGATAATGTGAGTTTGAGGGTAGGAACTCAACAACCGACGGTTCTTTTCGTTAAGGTATGGCATCATTTCAGGCACAAACCTTTTCCCCAATTGATTTTTCCAGAGTTTTAAACAAATATTATGTTGAATACAATTGCTAAATATAGTGACTTTGGTGATGATTTATAGATGTCCCATTGTCTATAAAGGTGTAGTCAATGTTATCAGATTTTTTTTTCCATAGATGAAATAATATTTTGTGTTAAATGCAGAGCACCATCAAAATAAGAAAATCATTTATATTTGGAGATACTGTCTATGTTTAGTTGAGTGGAATCTAAACTATTGTAATCATTTTCTTATTAATAAATTGTTGGGAATTATTGATGGTTAAGATATTTTGTGTTAAGCACGTGTCAAATCTCGCATTATAGTTCATATATGGGGCCATAATGATACCTCTCAATGCCTGCATGTGCTAGTTGCTATCTATTAAAGTGGACCATCACCCTCGCCGACTCTCGCTTGCTTGTTATGTATGTTTGCTACTTGTGATCTACCTCTAAATTGGTTGAGTTAAATCTCTCTTTCTCCTTCACGATGTTATACGACTAGTCTTATGATTTTAAACTCCTACTTCCCCGTAAGAACTTATATCAATTTAATAGGTACCATTTGTTCTTATAGTGAAGGATTTTCTTATTTCCTCATCTACTCTCACAATAAAAGCCATCATATTAATGCTTTTCCTCCACATAGCACTCATACCATGAAAATTTTCAAATGACAAACACCTTAGTACTCTTTTTTTTTTTTTTTTCGGACTATTCATTAGTCTTGAACCTTCAATTAACTTAATCATTGTTTTCGAAGACTCAAACAAGAAGATTTATGACTTCATTACACTTTTCACCCTTATTTTTTCTATGTTCCAACAAAATAAGATGCAATCCATGAATATTATATTAGTTTGAGAGCCAATTGGGACAACTTACTCTAGTTCCTTCCCTTCACTATTTATTTGACTATTTAACATAAGAAGAATAAAATTTTTTTGTTCCCAAATTTATCTTTGATCTACATCATTACTTATAGCATAATCTTGAATTCTCAGTTGATGTTTGACTCCATACTTCATGACATTAATAAATGTAAATGCCCCTCATCACTAAAATACCATACATTTCACTTTTCTTCTAATCAGTAATCACCTTCACATCCTCTATAGGGTAAAAAAGAGAAGGTTCCTGCTCTCACCATTACAGCCACTGGGAAGGGACAGTACGCGGTCGATTTCCACGCACAGTTATCAGCATTACAGGCATTCTCAATCTGCATCTCCATTCTTCACAGCTCCGAAGCTTCTTCGGCCATCGGTGAAGACTGTAACGACCATAAGCTTTGTCCTAATTCCCTCGAGCTCATTCTTGAAGAAAAAATGAGGCATATTATTGAAACTGCAGCAGAGGAGGAAAGAAAAGAGAAAAGGAAAGTTGAGCAAAGCCCTCCTCCGTCTTTCTTCCTTGATCCCCCGTTTTCTCCAATGGGGAGAGTGTAGATTTGTTGGAGAGCTAAGCTTAAAGTGAATCCAACAATGGAGAAAACAGCAGGGAGGGTTAGTATGTATAACTGCTGCTACAGCAATGGTGAGGAAATTATGTTTTTACAGATCAATAAAATGAGTTGGTGTAGCATTTTGGAACTTGCTTAACTTGGTGGTATACAATTCATTCTAGGGAGATTTACATGCATACTGCTCATTTTCTATGTATTTACATAATTTAACACCTAAAACTTCAATTTTTACATGCATGTCATTGTATCTATGCATAAAAAAGTGTTTTTTACCTTTTTAAGGTTAAAAAGGTGGCATTTTGGTTGTTATATGAAAGATTTTGGTGGTATGAATGTAAAAAAAATTAAGGTTTTGGTGTTAGATATGTAAATATATAGGAAATGGGTGGATTCTAGCACTTACGTTGGTATAAATTATAAATATGTTAGGGTGCTAGAGAGAGAGAGAGAGAGAGAGAGAGAGAGGTTGTTTTCTCATTATTGTAAGGTTTAATTGAAAATATGATTTTTATAGGGGTGGAATTTGAATTGCTAGTAAGAAGATTTTAAATTTTGAGTTCAGCCTTGATACAAATGGCATTCACTAGGGCTGTCAAAACGGCTCGTTGTTCGCGAACAACTCGTGTTCGGCTCGTTAAAAAACTCGTGTTCGGCTCATTTGCTAAGATTTGCTAAGTTAACGAGCCGGCCGAACACGAACAATACGAACAAATTTTTGTTCGTTCGTGTTCGACTCGTTTTGGCTCGAAATACTAATAAAAACAATAAGAATGCCATTCACATTTTTAGATGAAAATTTGTAGTTTTTCTTACATTTTAATTATCTATTAAATATTACAAAAATGTATTAATGTTCCCTATTTCAAATAGTATTAGATATCAAATTAGAACATTTTTAAAAATTAAGTTTTCTTCTTGTTCTTTGAAAAAGAATATCGTAGTATTTATTGAGTTTGTATGATTTGTTAAGTGTTTTATATGCTCCACATGTTTTATTTAAAGCATGATAATGAAAGATTAATTTTAGGAAAATTTATATACATGCCACACATTTCTTATGTATTTACATATTTAACACCTATAATTTGATTTTTACATTTATAACACATTGGTGTCATCATGAACATATGCATGAAAAAGTGTATCACATTTTATGTGATACCAAGCATTTGAATGTTATGCATGTAAATATAAAATTTTATGTGTTAGACATGCAAATATATAAAAATTGTGTGGTATGTATGTAAATGCCCCTTGACTTTAAGAGGCTTACTTAGAACCTTTGTGGCTTGTGAAAAAGAAGAACACGATAAGATTTTTTGTTGGTTTAGGTATTGTTATGGTATGACTCATATAGGGTTTAGGGACAGATGCTGGAACGAAGCGGAGCAGAGCGGAGCGAAACGGAAGAATCTGTCCAAATCGAAAAGTTACGTTATGTGGGTTGGGGTTATACGGTACAGGGGTAATTTAGGAAATATATATTGTACTATAGGGTTTTATTCTAAGATTATAAATAAACATGTTCGTAATCCTAGGTCTTTGAGAGAGTTGGATCCCTGAATTCTGTAAATTATTTTCTGAATATTAAAAAGAACTCGCCGCTCTGCTCACGAGGACGTAGGCATCTTTGCCGTTAAATCTATGTGTTCTTCGGTATTTGTGTCCTTCTAGTTTTTCTTCGCCCAACGGTATCAGAGCGGAGGATCGCGGCTTTCTGCGTAAGGAACGAGATCGCGACAGAGATCGCGGCGCGGCTCAGGGAAGCGGATTGCGGGTTCGAGGGCGGAACAGCAGCAGGTCGACGTGCTCGACCAGGGCTTCGGCGGCGGAGGCTTCTGCGACAGGCCCAAGGATCGCGAAGGAGGCTTTGCGGCAGGAAGAGGAGCTGTCGCCTTCGCAGGTCCGGCTGAGGCGTTAGCGGCTTCCAAAAGGAGCGGAGGCCACAGCCG